GAAGAGCGTTATTTTAGGGTTACAAACTTTCTTCAGAAAACAAATCCACGGGGTCCTTGGTTCCCCCAAATCACTCATCTCCACCCCCATAGCCAGGTAAAGGCCAAGTCTTGGCTGTCCAGCCCAGCTTGACCTTTCCCTCTTCTCAACAGGAACTAACGGGGGAAAGCCAGATGTAGGGCAGCTCAGGACAAGACACAGGGAGCCAGGACAACACCACCAGCAGAAGCTGCCCATGACTCCCAGTGCCCACCCTCGAGGCTTTCCTGCCCAGAGTGCTACCAAATCTTCTTTCCTCAAGGCTCAGACCAAGACACAGCTTGCGATGAGCACACTGACCCCCCCACTCCACCCCAGCCCCCAAAAGCCAGGACAGAAACACCAGCTCTGGCAGCAAGTGACTGATGTTCCTCAAAGCAGAGGCTTGGCACATGCCGTTCCCTCTGCTTGAACCGCCCTTTGACCCCTCTTCCCTTGCTTACAGGTTGCTTCTGCAAGGAAGCCTTCCTTGGTTCCCCCTAACTCTGGACTGCACGCTCCTCCTCTAGGAGCTCATGGCACTGAAGACATCCCTAGGTCGTAGAACCATCCCGCCACGTTGTGATCACACTCAGACTCCCCCCATCTCAGCTCAACTCTGAGCTCTATGACAAAAGAGCCCTTTCGTTCGCCCCCAGCACAGTACCTGGCACTGGGCAGCTGCTCAATAAACATGTGCTGAACTGTGAGAAAAGAGTGATGGGCTCTGGACTGGGCTTGGTGTGGTGGCCGTGACAGCCAAGTGAGGGTGGAACTCACTGCAATGTTGAGCTTGATGGTCTGGCCCTCCTTGAAGCTTAGGTCCAATTTGGGACCTTGATCTGGGTTCTCGGCTTGTTTTGCAAATTCACACTGCTGTTTCACCCACCTGGGGAGAGAACAGGAAGGAAAAGGTGAGGAAGAGGCGAGCTACCCTGCATTCATTCACTCACTTCATTCATACCTGCCACCAGTCCAGGACGAGGCTTTTACTGCAGCAGCGGGGTAGAAACTGAGAGCAGCATGGGAGTTAGGTGTGAATTTAAATCCTAGTTCTGACGCATAAGCAGCTGCATGCACGTCAGTTTCCTCATCAGCAAAATGGGATGACAACTCTCTATGCCTTAAAGACTGCTATGAAAATCATGAGGTCACTTATGTAGAGAGTCCTAACACTGGTCTTTAGGAAATCTGAGAACCTGGCCATCTCCTCCTCAGCATGTGGCATGAAGACTAAGACAAGTTCTCCACATCCTCCCAGGGGCTTAAAAAGTAGATTGTGAGACAGGACAAGTGCCCAGAAAGTACTGAAAGCAACCAAAAAGGTCTCCTACCCTCCATAGAGCACCCCTCTTAGTAGCCACCCGAAGCAGAGAAGAGCTAGAGGGGCCCACGAGAGCAGCTGCACACTCCCCGCAGCCAGAGGTGGAGGCCTGCAGATGGCAGGGGAGAAGGCTTTCCTGCCCATTTAGCTTCAGAAAGGACCACCAGGGTGTGTGCTGAGTGGCCTGGGAATCCGAGGACTGCTTAGCACAGCATGGAGGGACAGGCCCAGAAAGGCCAAAGGAGCCTGACAAGGACTCTGGCCGCTCAGGGGCCTGATGAGGGAAGAGATGTGACACCTCAAAGGCTGGGCTAGCTGACTGGGGTGGCAGAGATGCACCTCGGGTAAAGGAAATGACTTCAAAGCAGAGATGAGGACTGGCAGAGCGCAGAGAAGGTGACCTGCTCCGAAGGAGAAGTGAGTTTTCCTGAGGCTCTGCTGGCAGACATACCACACACAACCACCTGGGTATCCTAACCTGGGAGACCATTCTGTCTGGGGAGAGAGGGAGGAGGCATGAGTATGTGTCTCCTGGAGCCACTCACTTGAAATGGTCCTGCAAGGCAACATTGAAGTCAAAGGCATCACCTCGGTCCCCGAAGCCAATTCCAATAAACGCCCGTCGCCCTGGGGGACAACACACGATCAATCCCACTTCCCAGGGGCAGAGAAAACCCTTCTCAGAGGAAGAAGGTCCAAGTCCCACGCGTACCGTTTCCATCTTCGATGCGGATAACGAAGTACCTGCTGGAATCCATCACGCTCTCCACAGCTGTGCCTGGAAACTGATCCACTGGGGCCTGAGCAAAGAGCTCCCCTGAAAGCATAAGGGAGGGTGAGCCTTGAGCACCCCCCAGACTGTTTCTATCACATGACTGGGGCCTTTTCCTGAGAGGCAGATGGGCAAACCTGACTCTGGGTTTCAAGTCAAATCCACTTTGGCCGAAGGGAAAACAGAGGAATATAACCAAGGAGAGGTTTAAGTCAGAGGTGGCTTACAGATCAGATCCAGCTCACAGTTTCAGCATCTTCAATTTAACTGCCAAACACTTCAAAATCAGATTACTTGTAAAATAATCCAGATGTCTGGCTTCTCTTAAAATCAAAAGCTCTAATGCTGGGCCTCCATTTCTACATGAGAACGATGGGCTGGAGCTGCTGGCCACTCATTCCACCTGCCTCAGCCATTCACAGCCACGGCCTGCACCCCCAGGGCCCTGGCTCAGGTAGATCACACCTTCAAAAAAGACCTGGTGCCTGAGGCAGGCCTCTAGAGGAGCAGGTGAACCCAGTGGAAAGGGGGGAGGGGTTTTGCACTCACAGAAGAATCTGAAGCCAGTGGATTTAATCTAATTTCAGGCCAAAAGAGTGACTGCTTTTAAAAGGAGCTCTTGCGAAATGTATCCCCTTATTAACTATGGCTCTCCAGGGTGCAGTGCAGCACACACCTTCTGTGAACATTTACGACTGGCATCATTTTTGCGTGTGCTGATCTCAGTTAATGTTTTACGTATTTAACCAATAGTTTCTACTAAATCCTATGGTTCAGAGGTGACTGTGCAATTAAGGCTGAACTGAATCCAAATCGGTGGCCTGAGTTTGTAGCTTCTTGTTAATTTCTCTGCCCTCTCTAGTTTGGTACCTGGGGACTGGGATTCACCTGGATGCCTTCAGCCTAGAGCAGTGGTTCTCCACCATGGCTGATTTGTCCCTCCCTTCCACCAAGGGACATCTGGCAATATGCGGTGACATTTTTGTTTGCCACAACTTGGGGGATGCTACTGGCATCTAGGAGATAGAGGTCAGGGATGGTGCTAAATATCTTAAATATGACTTAGACCACAACACTCAGCTGGCCCCAAATGTCACGAGTACTGAGGCTGAGACACTCCGGTCTGGAGTGATTGGAAAGTGAGAGACGAACACGACCCAGTGGGCATGACCTCAAGCTAAGAGCTTCCTGGGGTGGGTCCTGCAGGTGAGGCTCAGCTTTGAGCAGAGGCTGGTACACCAGGTGTGTACCTTAAACGTCAGTTCCCAAGGCCCCTAGAGAACAGGTGTTGCCATTCCCTTGTGACACCACCTGGGACAACCCAGCAACTCTGACAGCCAGAGTTCTCTGGCCTAGTCACAGCAGCTGTCCCTTCAAACTCCTCTGCCACCAATGCTCAGTCATGCTCAAAACAAATCAATGCTTTGGGTCACCTTGCAGTTCACAAAGCATTCGGATAAATATGTGCTCACTTTGTATTTCCAACAACCTTGTGAAGTAGGAGCTAATGTGATCCCCATTTCACCAAAAAGGAGGCCAAGGTGCCAAAGGTCACGTGGCTTGCCCAAGGTCCCACAGTTCAGACAAAAGTGATGCAGATCTGAGAAGAGGCAGCCAGTTTTGCCTATGAATCTTTGCATTTTATTTGCCCCACAAGGAAAATCTCTACATGTTAGAAAAAATAAATGACCGAATGCCGGGGCATCTGACTGAGCAAGCCCTGCGCCTGATTCCGGCTCTGGCTGCGGGGGCTGGCATTATTCCAGGCCACGCTGCCCTCCACAGCTCACCCAGAGGCCCTGGTGGTGCAGGACTTCAGAGAGATTTCACCAAAGGTGAGAACTGCCAGCTGACCCCAGCACAGCCCAGCTTGGCTTGTCCTCTCACCACAGAAAGAGCTGAGAAGGACAGTTTCCAGTTCTTTCAGTTAATGGGTGTGGTCAATCTGGGAGGTTACCATTTGGTCGATAAGCAGAATTCCTGATTAAGAACCCGAGCTCAGCAGCGGAGGGCTATGCGTCTTCACTCAGCTTATCTTCCAGGCAAGCTCCGGAGCTTCCTACTTGGGACCAACCTTAATGTCTTCTCTCCCTGGGCTCCAAAATTAGTGTTTTCTTAAGGATGCCCAAAAGAACAGGTGCTTGACAGGAAATACTTCCTTTTAAGGAAGGAAGCGGCTTGTAAGTATACTCGGCTTGTAAGTATACTCGGGCCTTTGATTTCCAGGACAGGGTCCCACGATCCCTGAGTGGCTTGGCCAGGCCCGGGCAGCCCGTCCCTTCACAAAGTGGGAGGTATGGTACCACGCAGAGCTCCCTTGCCTTTACCTGAGGTCCTGTCCTCCAGCTTGATGTAGGCCACCTGCCCTTTTGCAGTGATCCGCAGCCGGCCACTCCATGATGGCTGGTCCAGCTGCCATTCCGCAGCCCTAAAGGGACAAAAACCATTGTGCTTCTGCCAGAGGTTCCTGCTCCACTACTCCAATGCTGGGGGTGGAAATAGGAAGGGATGTGGGCTGCTCGCTCCAGACCAAAGGTTGGCAAACGTTTTGAGAGAAGAGCCATACGATCTCTGTCCCAACTACTCACTCTGCTGCTGCAGAGGGAAAGTAGTCACGGTGCATGAGCATGTGGGTGCTTTAATTATTTTAACCAAATATTTTCTACTGAGCATGGCTGTATTTCAGTGAAACTTTATGGACAATCTGAATTTCATACAATTTTCACATTATGGAATATTCTTTCAAATTTTCCCCAATCACTTAAAAATGTAAAAACCATTCTTAGCTTATGAGCCAAACAAAAACACAGTGGGTCGTAGTTGGCCCACCCCAGTTCCAGATTATAGAGACTGTCTCTGAAGTAGGATTCCAGTTTTCTTTCTGTAGAGAAAGCAGCTACCAGGGCCCATGGTTTGTTTATGACACTGCTAGGCTGCAGTGGTCAGAGTAATCATTTGGGACCACTGAAGCCATCTTGAAGGAAAAGGAGAGAGGGGAGCAATCATCAGTAGAAGAGAAAAGGAGAGCAACAGGACATGTGGGATAACTGAATGAGCATTTAAGAAATACATTCTCAAAGGTATCCTAAGAAGAAATAAACCCAGGAAACCATAGACCTATCACAATGGCCTCTTTTGGCTCTTTTAAAGTATTAACTTCATATTTTAGTTCTAAGAAGCAGCTCAGTAAAACCCCCCAAAAGCAAAAACCTTGGGTGTTTCCAGGAGGCTTTTCTTGGAAGTCCCTTAGCATATGCCAGGACTTGGAGAGACACCATTAACTGTGGACGCACATTGTTTTGAAGGCCACACAAATGCAGACTCTCGATTCACAAGTCAGCTGACTCAGTTTCAGTTCCTCTTATTCGGGCAGGAGGCCTTAGACTCAAGATAAGCAGAGTTCTGAGGCTGAAGTGCAGGGGTTGGCAGTTTCCTCTATGCCAACCTAGCCAGTCCTAAGACTTGGTAACCTCAATCTCTTGGGACCAAGAGGGACCAAACTCATCCTACTGAAGGGGATGGGGGCAGATGATCACCTCTGGTTTGATGGCCCATCTCCAGTTTGACGATAGAAAGCAAAATGTATTTTTGTTATTATTACTATTGTTGCTTTCATATTATTTTAAAATTATGTCATGGATGTAGTAGGTGTTCAATAAAATACTTGTTCACTAGAGAATCAGCTATAAGGGCTTCCCTGGTGGCACAGTGGTTGAGAATCCGCCTGCCAAGACAAGGGACACGGGTTTGAGCCCTGGTCCGGGAAGATCCCACATGCCACAGAGCAACTAAGCCCGTGCGCCACAACTACTGATCCTGCGCTCTAGAGCCCGTGAGCCACAACTACTGAGCCTGCAAGCCACAATTACCGAGCCCACGTGCCACAACTACTGAAGCCTGCATGCCTAGAGCCTGTGCTCCGCAACAAGAGAAGTCACTGCAATGAGAGGCCCGCTCGCCACAACTAGGGAAAGCCCACGTGCAGCAACGAAGACCCAACGCAGCCAAAAATTAACTAATGAATTAACTAATGAATTTTTTAAAAAAAGAATAGAAAATCAGCTATATGCCCACATTAACACAACTGGAAAGTAACAAGAGGCCAGGTATGTGGACACTCCACCATTCTTGTGGTGCAGGCCAATCCTGTATTCCAACTAACTTGGACTAACACTGCTTTCAAGAGCCCCACCCCCCACCCCCGGTGGCACAAACAGCCATAGGCCAGGTTGTCTGTGTCAGGTACATCATATTTTCTTTTAATATTTTTCTTCTTTTGATACATGGTGACAAAATGCAAACAGTACAAAGAGATATCAAGTCACAGGAAGTCTCCTTCCAACCCCCATTTACCTCTGGTGGGGTAGTTTCCTGTGTTCCCTTCTACACACTCTACGTTTACAAACACGGGTATTTATTTCTCTCAGGTGAACATTTCACCAGCGAAGTACGGATGGATGCTTCCCAACTGCCACAGGCTGTGATAAGGACTGCAGTTCATGCCAAGGAAGCTGGGCAGGGAGGGGTTCCTGGGCTTTCAACATCAACTTAAAACTACCCGGGACGGGTTCTTTTGACCGATTCGGGGCTCCCTTTCTTCCCCTCGGGGATTTCTGCCAGTGACAGAGTGCCTTTCCCGAAGGCTTTTTAAGGATCCCTTCAAGGCCATCGGTTAGCTCTGAAAAATACAGGTCTGTGACACCACCACTCCTGACCACGTTAAGGGTCCCTGGCAGCCCACCTGGGTCCCCGGCAGCCCGCTCGGCGCTAGATTCGGCTTTCACGCCTTCCCCGCTGCCGGGAGCCCCATGCGTCAGACTGAGAAAGACGAAAGTCTGGGTCCCCCTCCCTACTCTGGCCTCGAACTGGAAGAAACCGCAGCATTACCTCCCCCCGCCCCCTGCCCCTCGCCCATCAACTGGCGGGGCCGTCCTCAGGTCCCACAGTGGGCGTGTCGGGGTGACAGGGAAGGGGTTAAGTAGTGGCTAGCCTGGCACGGCGGCGGGTGGTCACCTGTAACCACGGTTGGTGGCCCGCGGCGGGATGCGGTAAACGTGGACCTCTGGCTTGACACAGAGAACCGACTCGTACTCGCCTTTCTCCATCTCGACGCCCGGAACCCACCGGACTTCCGGCTCCTTCCCCGCCGCGGGGCGGAAGCCGCGCGACTCTATGATCCATGTCAGGCTAGAGCGGCAGCTCGCGGGCCTCGGCCGCTCATCGCCCACGCGCCCTCTGCTGGAGGCTCTGGCTCAAGACATGCGGCGGACGGATCTACGAGCCAATTTGATGCGGAGCGGACTAGGGTTGTCTAGGGGCTTTCTCTTCCACGAGGTCTCGCGGGCCGCAAAGAAAACTTTAATACAGATCCCACTGCAATCCATTGTCTGGTTGTGGGTCATCCCCATCGCCTCAACACTTACACCTGGTGTCCAGTTGGCTGAGATTCAAAGCTGTAGCTACCTAGACAGCTCAGCCTGATGCCTCTCTCTCCTCCAGCCTCCGCTTCCCTCGGCTTTTCCTGAATGTCCTGCCATCTCCTGACTCGTAAGCCGCAACTGAGGCCTTTCCTCCTAGAGAAATCCTTACCTGTCCCACCAGCTAAATGCGATGTCCCTACCCTGCCACCCTTATCCTTACCCACTGTGGGCCCAGGGCCCCTGTTGCCTAGACTCAGCAAAACGTTGTATTCAAAGAAGCAAAGTTTAGTAATAACGTAAATAATTTTAAAAGTATCCCAGTCTTAACTTGGATTTCTCACAGAATCTTATAGGAGTTACAATGTCTAACCGGAGTCAAATTCTCAAAATCTTGTCTCCTCTACTATTCTCTCATTCATTACACAAATGTTTAATTAAGTGCTTACAATGTGCCAGGTCCTCTGTGGGGCACAGCTGATCCCAAATTCACTGATTTACTGAATGCTCGGGCTTCCCTGGTGGCGCAGTGGTTGAGAGTCCGCCTGCCGATGCAGGGGACACGGGTTTGTGCCCCGGTCCGGGAAGATCCCACATTGCGCGGACCAGCTGGGCCCGTGAGCCATGGCGGCTGAGCCTGCGCGTCCGGAGCCTGTGCTCCACAATGGGAGAGGCCACAACAGTGAGAGGCCCGCGTACCGCAAAAAAAAAAAAAAATACTGTATGCTCCCAAACTTTCTCCACTCCCTTCTTCCCTCTCCTCTCTCTCTCCTTTCACTCACTCTTTATAAGCTCTTTATTATAGGATTGATCTACCCTCTTAAATTAAAAAAAAATTATTGCGGTAAAATATACATAACATAAACTTTACCATTTTAACCATTTTAAGTGTACAATTCAGTGAAATGAACTACATTCACCACTATCTATTTCTAGAACTTTTCATCATCCCAGACCCTATACCCATTAAGCAATAACACCCCATTTCCTGCTACCCACCCCCCGCCCCTGGTAATCTCTATTCTACTTTCTGTATATGAATTTACCTATTCCAGGTACCTCATATAAATGGAATCATACAGAATTTGTCTCTGTGTCTGCTTATTTCACTTAGTATAATGTTTTCAAGGTTCATCCATGTCATAGCCTGTATCAGAATTTCATTCCTTTTAGTGGCTAAATGATATTCCATTGTATGACGTAAAAAAATTAATAAACAGAAACCGCAATTAAATAGGAGACCAGAATGGGGAGCTCTTACACCCTGGGATGATAGCAGAGCCCAACAGGAAGAAGAAAGACTCCTTTTCTTTCTCGGCAAGAATTCAGCCAATGAAAAGCCATGAACTCTTTGTTTACTGTATCCTTCTTTTTCCCAACTTCCTTTCCCCCTCTATGAAAGAGTTCTGCTTCCCTTGCCCTGAGGGAACTTGCACATGGCTGGCCATTGTTGCAGACTCTGAGTTGCAATTCTCTGCTGATCTCATGTAAACCCATCTTTGCTGGAGAAATTCTGGCGGTCTATTTATTTCAGGTCAACAACGGATACACCACATTTTATCCATTCATCTGCTGATGGACATTTGGGTTGTTTCCACCTTTTGGCTATTGTGAATAATGCTGCTATGGATTACTGGTGAATAATACCTGTTCAAGTCCTTGTTTTCAATTCTCTTGAGTATATATCTAGAAGTGGACTTGCTGGCCCATATGGTAATTCTATGTGTAGCTTTTTGAGGAACTACCAAACTGTTTTCCACAGCAGCTGCATTTTCCATTTCCACCAGCAAGGGTCCCAGTTTTCCACATCCTTGCCAATACTTATATTCCATTTCCTTTGATAGTAGCCATCCCAGTGGGTATGAAGTTAACCTCTCTTTACGTGAACTGATTTAACTTCTAATTTCAACTTTGCTCCTTACCCTGATTCTGCACAGCAAAGAAGAAATTGAGAAGTGAGATTTCTTCCTCCTAGTTCTTTGTTCCTATCTCATTTTCCTAAAGTCCTGGAGTGGCAGAGACAGAAGTCCCCTTAGAAGCTGGAGGGGAGAGATGTTCAGATGGGAGGGGAGAGCACACGCCCACACTGACAATCTTGTCCCCTCACATTCTCATCATTCTGTTTACATGTCTGCTCTCCCACTAGACTGCAAGCTTCTTTTTTTCTTAAAGTTTTTAAATTTTATTTTATGTGGACCATTTTAAAAGTCTTTATTGAACTTGTTACAACATTGCTTCTGTTTTATGTTTTGGTCTTTTGGCCATGAGGCATGTGGGATCCTAGCTCCCCGACCAGGGATCGAACCTACACCCCCTGCATTGAAAGGCGAAGTCCCAACCGCTGGACTGCCAGGGAAGTCCCTAGACTGCAAGCTTCTTGGATGCAGGACTCTGTCCCTGCCTTTGTGAACCCCTGTATTCAGCAGCACAGGGTCTGGTACAGAGTAAGTGCTCAGTGAATGAATGGGTAAATGAGTGTGTGTGTGTGTGTGTGTGTGTGTGTGTGTGTGTTCATTTGGTTACATCCCAAAGCCAAGGGGCAATTTGGGAATGAGGCACTGTGTTTCCTCTTTCACACTATCTTTGCATCAGTATGTGCTGCACAACAGTAGGGGAAAATAGGGTATCCCAGGAGTAAAGCACCTGGACACTTTGAGTTGGAGAAAATTTCAGCTGGGAGAGCATCTTGGACCAGCTCTTAAGAGCTAAACTTTGGGATAGCATCCACCATCAGCACCAAGTTCCATCACTTCCTCTCTGGAAGCCAAGCAGTGTGAAGGTGGCCCATGGTGACTGTTTTTATTTATTTATTTATTTATTTATTTATTTATTTATTTATTTATGGCTGCGTTGGGTCTTCGTTGCTGCGCATGGGCTTTCTCTAGTTGCGGCGAGCGGGGGGCTGCTCTTCGTTGCAGTGTGCGGGCTTCTCATTGCTGTGGCTTCTCTTGTTGCGGAGCACTGGCTCTAGGTGCGTGGGCTTCAGTAGTTGTGGCACATGGGCTCAGTTGTTGTGGCTCGCGGGCTCCAGGGTGCAGGTTCAGTAGTTGTGACGCATGGGCTTAGTTGCTCCATGGCATGTGGGATCTTCCCGGACCAGGGCTCGAATCTGTGTCCCCTGTCTTGTCAGGTGGATTCTCAACCCCTGTGTCACCAGGGAAGCCCACGGTGACTGTTTTGGGCCTCCCCATGAAGCTGCCCCTGGTAGGACACCTTCCTCTCATGAATCTGGAAGGGAATGCTCACTCTGTGCCAGGGGGCAGCCAGGTTTTACAATGGGTTCAGAGCACTTCCCATTCAGTTCAGTCTAACAAAGGTGGGCATTGAACATTGACTATAGGCCAGGTGCTGGGTGATGGGACCACAGAAATGAGGGCCACCCAGCTCCTGCCTTCATGGAGCTAACAGAGAGGAGGAGACAGAGAGAAATGCAGAGTAAAAAGTGCTATGATGGAAGACACTCACAGGAAGGTGTGGGAGTGAAGAGAAGAGAGACCCCACTCAGCCTGGGGGCAGTCAGGGAAGGCTCTCTGGAAGAGGTTACCTTGACACAATAATCCCTGTGAGGTAAGCAGAGCAAGGATTGTTATCCTCATTGTGTAGTGGAGCCACTGAAACAGTGACCAGCCCAGGGAAACCTCACTGTCCTCTAGCTGCAGGAGGTCAGACAGTCCCTTGCCTTACCCTCAAATCCCAGCCACGTGGCTAAACATGCCTGAAATGCATTTCTAAGGCTCTGCTGCCGAGAATAATTGGGTCTACTGGTCCCCAGGTTAAAGATGTTGTTTGCCGAATGAATTCAATTCAACCCAACAGGCAGAGTATAGGCTCAGACAGAGCCCATCTCACGTGGCAGGAGGCGCCAGCGGTGCAAAATCTCGCTGTGATTCATCCAGGTGCTTTCTGGTAGGTCCAGGGCCAAGGTGGGGGTTTGAGATGAGCAGTTTCCTGGGTGGCTTTGTGAAATATATATGATAGGTCACTTATCATCTTTCCCTGCTGTATTTTCCTGCCATCATAGATATTTCTAAGTGAAGGGGAAACCACTTATAAAAGGGCACTCGGGGCTTCCCTGGTGGCGCAGTGGTTGAGAGTCCGCCTGCCGATGCGGGGGACATGGGTTCGTGCCCAGGTCCGGGAAGATCCCACATGCCGCGGAGTGGCTGGGCCCGTGAGCCATGGCCACTGAGCCTGCACATCCAGAGCCTGTGCTCCGCAACAGGAGCAGCCACAACAGTGAGAGGCCTGCGTACCGAAAAAAAAAAAAAAAAAAAAAGGGCACTCGATAACAAAACAATCTTGAAAAAGAAAAAAGTTTGGAGATTCACACGTCCCAATTTCAATACTTACTACAAAGGGACAGTAATCAAGACAGTATAGTACTGGTACAAGGATAGACCATAGATCAATGGACTAGAACTGAGAACAAACCCTTACATTTATAGCCACTTGACTTTCCATAAGTGTGCCAAGACAATTTGATTGAGAAATAATAGTCTTTTCAACAAATGGTGCTAGAATGAGATATCCACATTCCACATGCAAAAGAATGAAGTTGGACCCCTTTCTCACACCATGTACAAAAATTCATTCAAAATGACTATAGACCTAAATGTATGAGCTAAAACTATACAATTCTTAGAAGAAAACATAGAGAAAAATCTTTATGACCTTGGATTTATGTTATAATAAAAAGAATCTAATAGATTCTTAGATATGACACTAAAAGCACAAGCAACAAAAGAGGAAAATAGATAAATGGGACTTTAACAAAATTAAAAGCTTTGTGCTTCAAAGGACAGAAAAGTGAAAGTACAATTCACATAATGTGAGAAAAATTTTGCAAATTACATATCTGAAAAGAGACTTGCATCTAGAATATACAAAGAGTTCTTACCATTCAATAATAAAAAGACAAATGACACAATTTATAAATGGACAAGGAACCTGAATAGACATTTTTCCAAAAAATATACACAAATAGCCAATAAGCACATGAAAAGATGCCCAACATCATTAGCCATCAGGGAAATGCAAATCAAAACCACAGTGAGATACCACTTTATACCCACACCCACTAGAATGACTAGAAGACATAGTAATTGTTGGTGAGGATGTGGAAAAATTGGAACCCTCATACATTGCTGGTGGGAATGTAAAATGATGCAGCCACTTCAGAAAACAGTATGGCAATTACTCAGGGGACTAAACACAGAGTTACCATATAACCCAGCAATTCCATTCCTAGGTATACCCCCAATAGAAATGAAAATATATCTTCACACAAAAGTTTGTACACAAATGTTCACAACAGCATTATTCATAATCCAAAAAAGTGGAAACAACCCAAATGTTTATCAACTGATGAATGGATGTACAAAATGGGGAATTCCCTGGTGGCCTAGTGGTTTGAATTCCGGGCTTTCACTGCCACGGCTCAGGTTTAATCCCTGGTTGGGGAACTGAGACACCGCAAGGTGCACGGTGCGGCCAAAAAAAAAAAAACAAAATGTAGTATATTGGCCATAAAAAGAATGAAGGGTTGATACAAGCTACAACACAGATGAACCTTGAAAACATCTGCCACGTGAAAGCCAGTCACCAAGGACCACAAATTGTATGGTTCCATTTAAATGAAATGTCCAGAATAGGCAAGTCTATAGGGACAGAAAGATTAGTGGTTGCCTACGGCTAGGGGTGGGGTGGGAGGACTGAGGTGATGGCTAAGGGGTGTGGGGCTTCTTTTGGGTGTGATGAAAATATTCTAAAATTGGAGTGAGGATTGTCCAATTTTGTGAATATACTAAAAGCCATTGAATTGTACACTTTAAGTGGATGAGTGGTACAATACGTGAATTAAATCTCAATGAAGTTGTGAGAAAGAAAGTGCCCTGAAAGGGGGACAGAGTCTATATTGGCCACCCACCCCGCTCAATTCTATCCTCAGATCCCATGCCTTTCTGCTAGGGTTGGGGCTTCCCCTTCTCATCTAGATTCTCACAGAGGTTGTAAGCTCCAGATGGGGATGGAGAGGGGGCTGGATCCCCTCTGGAGCCTCTGCCCCCTTAAAACTCCAGCTTGTGGAATACTGGGGCCTGAGAATTCTGAGGTTGAGACTGTGCTTTCTGAGGTGGAGACAATGGGGGGCGTGTTTGAGGGGTCTGGGAGGGGGGCAGATTTCCCCCAGATGGGTCATCTACCCCGGGGGTAGGAAGGCTCAGAGGAAAGGGGAAGGTTTAGGGAGTCCTAATGGGAGAGAAGGGAGAAACTCCAAGGAAAGAGAGAGGGGCTCAGTCACAGAGCTGACCTCTCTGTGCCAGGTGAGAGCCTAGGTCCTTTGGGAGGCTGGAGCTGCACCTGGAGTGGGGGTCACCTGGGAGCGGAGTCTTGTTTGCATTGTGGGGATACAGGCCCAGAGGGTAGGACTGGAGGGAGGCAAGGTTGGGAGGAAAGGAGAAGGGAGAGGGGATTCAGGTCAGCAGCTGTTAAGGGTACCTCCCCTGTGCCCCTTGTAAACTGTGAGAGCCACCAGACCCCCAGTGTATCCCCAAGGCCTGATGTCACATGTCTGTTAAACAACTGGTGATTGCATGGGTGAGTGAGGGAATGAATTAAGCTTCTTTGGAGGCAAGATAATATGGTGAGATAAGCAGTCTTGGGAGTCACACAGGCCTGGGTTTGAAGCCGTTTCTTCTGCAGATTTGCTGTGTGGTATTGGACAAGACTCTGGGCTATCCTGAGCCTCAGTTTCCGTATCTTTCAAACAGGGCTGGACCCACTGACCTCAAGGACAGGTGGTTAGAATACCGTTGGCAAACGTGCCCACCAAATAGAAGGTTCCTCCATGGATGGTGGCCGGCCTGTCATGATTTAAAGTGGAAGCAGCAAGATCAAGATCCTCAAGGTCTTACTGAGGGGGTAGGATTTACCCTTAGAAACCAGGTAACAGTGAAGAGAGGTCTGTGGCGTCTCCGCAGAAAGGGTGTTGATGTTGCCTCAAAGGAATTCAGAGGCCGGAGAGAGGGCTAAGGTGGTTGGAAGCTTGGAGAAGAGGTGGGAGCTTGAAGGATGGGGTGGGAGGTGCTGGAGAAAGAGAGAGAAGTGGGAAACGAGCAGAGAGGCTGGGGGATCTGCAGGGTTAGGATCGCAGGAGTCTGCCCAGATTAAAACAGAATGTTTGTGTAGGGTGTGGCAGTACAGCCAAATAGGAGATTGGGTAGGAGAAGCAAAAATAGAGACCCTAGGGGCTTCCCTGGTAGCTCAGTGGTTGAGAATCCGCCTGCCAATGCAGGGGACATGGGTTCGATCCCTGGTCCAGGAAGATCCCACATGCCGTGGAGCAACTAAGCCTGTGCACCACAACCACTGGACCTGCGCTCTAGAGCCCGTGAGCCACAACTACTGAGCCCGCGTGCTGCAACTACTGAAGCCCGCACGCCTAGAGCCCCTGGTCTGCAACAAGACAAGCAACCACAATGAGAAGCCCGCGCACCGCAACGAAGAGCAGCCCCCGCTCACCACAACTAGAGAAAGCCTGCGCGCAGCAACGAAGACCCAACACAGCCAAAAATAAATAAATAAATTTATATATAAAAAAAAAAGAGACCCTAAGAAAGGCTTTAGACAGGGATGTGTCCAGGGCAGGGTCAGGGTGCTTTGGTGAACTACCTATTGCCATTGGTGACTTTAGGGCCCCCAAGACAGACGTTCCCCACTCCTATTCCTTAGCTCCAAGAAGAACGGAATTTTCCTGTATAGCAGCAGCAGCCGTGACACTTTTGGGCTCTCTTTATTATTGTTTTGTTCTGTTTTTGGCTGCGCCATGCAGCATGTGGGATCTTACTTCCCCGACCAGGGATTGTACCCGCGGCCCCTGCAGTAGAATCGTGGAGTCCTAACCACTGGACCGCCAGGGAATTCCCTCTTGGGCTCTCTTTAAAATGCATCTTAGGATATTAAGGGCTCTGAGAAATCCTGCAGGAAAGAGGCTATTTCATTTTAACTCAGAACTTTCTGGACACATGTGGCCTCAGAACTCTTTTTTTTGTGTGTGGTGTACCCCATGGGACCAATATCCCCAAGAACACCTGTTAGGAAATGCTGCTGTAGGGCAAAGTGTGTGGGTTTTGGGACCCAATAGGCCATGGTTTGATTCCTGCTCTGTGACCTATTTGGTGTTGGACCTCGGGCAAGTCACTTTGTTTCCCAGAGCCTCCTTTTCCCCAGAGTCATCGTGAGGATTGGGGAAAATATGTGGGTAACGCATGTGGCTATAGCTCTCTGGTCTTGCTGCATGCCTCTCCTGTGCCAGGCCTGGTCCTACCTCTTCCCCTGAGCCAGGCTCTCTGCATGACAGACTCCACGTGGGCTGCTGAAGAGATAGTTAGGTAATGGGCTTGGTGGAACTTTGATTGGATTTCTTTTCTGGGAACACAGCATTTGATGCTCCTCACTTGGTACACTCGTTGGCCCTGGCACAATGGACAACAGAAACGCCCAAATGTACGTGGAGTGTAGGATCAAGGCTCCAGAGGCCCGGCCAAGTCCTGGCCTGAGGACTGCCAGCAACAGGGCTGGTGTTGAGCCCACCATATCAGAAGTCAGCCAGGTAGGGACCTGCATCTCTACTCCCAGCAGCCACCTTTCCTTTCCCCTGCCCAGGTTTCCTTCCCTCCCCAACTGCTTTAATTAAGCCTCTATTACAAGTGGCACAAAACTCAATTCAAACTGGATTAGGCAGGAATGAGAACACATCAACCTGCGTAACTGACAAATCTACCTGTAGACTTCAGGTATGGCTGGATCAAGGTGCTCAATGAGGGTCTCTTGGCTCTGCCTTCCTCTGTGGCATTCCCAGGCAGGCTCTCTCTGCAAAATGGCAAGAATTGCCCTGGCCACTCCAGGCTTAAATCTTCCCATCTTACATCTTCTGGCTTAGCATTCCTAACAGGAGGAGAGCCTCTTTGCAATAGTTGAAGAAAGTCTCTGGTATCAGTGTCATTGGCCCAGCTTGTAGTCATATGTTTATCCCTGAACCAGTCACCATGGCAGGGCAGAGTGGCCTGGATCTCTTGGTATAATGGAACCAGAGGTGGTACTCGGCTCGCTCCGCTGAGCCGCATGGGCCGAATGGAGACAGGAAGTTTCCCATAAAAGAATGTTGGCTTTGTTACCAAAAGAGATGCTGGCTGGGTGAGCAAAACAAGAATTGCCTACTTACTTCCATGGCTTTTAGCCTCCCTGTCCCTTATATCCTTTACTCCCCTGACAGCTGCTCAAAGCTTCCATCCATGACCCTCCCCATCCCCTAGCCTGCAACCTAGGCTCTCATTGCTCTTCTCGGCCTCTTTCCATCAAAAAAAAAATTTTTTTTAAGTGCCAAGTGCCATGAATTGAAGAGCACAGAGAAGATCTTCCTTTCTGTGTCCCCAGAGCCAAAAATGTCACCATAAAAAAAGTCAACACTCCCTTGGATTAAGTATCACCCTCTCCCTGTAGCCTCTGTTATAAATCATGGCTTCTCCTAGGCCCCCGGAGAGGGCCTGAAATGGGGGTCTTGGAAGGAGGCTGGGGTAAACATTCAGGGCTTCCTTTACCTGCCCATTTATTTTTCCAATGCGCATAGTCAGGGGGTCTCAGTGCCACCACTTAACCAGCTGTATGACCTTGGGCATGTCACTGCAGCCCTTTGAGCCTCATGGGCTCATGTGTGTCATGTCGAGGATTAACTGGGTTAAGTCCCTGGAGGCACCTGACACTGGCCCTGCCCCGTGGTAGATGCCCTTAGTGTTGGCTCACAGTGAAAACTTGTATTATCAACTGATTGAACCAGGTTGCCTGGAGTTTGCTGACTCAGGCGAGGCTTGGAGCTGCCTCTAAGTCGCTGACTCAAGGTCACCCAACTAGAGAGTGATGGGCATCAAAACCCAGCTCCAGAGCCTGAGCTCTGAAGTGGCAGAAATTGTGGAAGCCTCTCTCGGAAATTGTGAGGGTCTGGAAGTCCCCCAGGGCACTCTGTCAAGCTGTCCTCAGTGGCATCCCCTTGGCCCAGGTACTACTCTGGGCTCCAGGTTCGCGCTGGAGCCATCGGTGCTGACCGAGCCTCCCTCCTCCTGCCCCTCGTCTCCTCCTTGCCTCTCTCCAATGTCTTCCCCAGTTAGGCACGGGATCTCCCCGTCCCTGAGTCCAGGACGATGCCAGAGAGTGGGAGAATCCCTCCAGAATGGGCCAACACTTGAGCCAGTGCCATGGGCATCTTCGTTCTAGGTTGTGTTTACAGATGCTGAAGGGATAGACAGTGGGAAGCAGCCCTCATCAGAACCAGGAGAGCCAGAGGACGGGCCCAGACACAGAGAGGCATCAGAGGAGGGGTCTCCAGAGCTCAGCACCCAGGAGCAGATGCCTCCGGCGGGGCCAAGGTGAGCCAGGGGCTTCCCAGAGAGCAGCTCCAGGAGAGAATCCCCTGTGACTCACCTGGTAGTGGGGGTGAGGAGGGACAACTCCCAGGCTAAGGTGGATCCACCCAGTCATAGCCCCTGTACTTCTCTTTCATAGCACGAATCTCACTAAATTAATTCTTCATGTTGACCTTTTGTCTGAGCTCCCCCACTAGACCACAAACTTCTGTGATGTGTCTTGTTCAAGGGGTATTTATGTCTTGTTTAACCTCACATCCCTCATGCCGGGGACTCTGCCTGTAGCAGATGCGCAATAAATACGTATTCACTGAATTCATAGAAGAGTGAACAAAAGAGAGGCTGAGAGACACAGAAACACACATTTATGTGGAATTATTGTTATTACTTTCTAAATATTATATATGTCTTTAAGCTTGCCTACAGTGAGAATATATTCTTTTTAAAAAGAGGAAATGGAGAGAGAGCCAGAGAGAGGCAAAGTGAAAGACTTGGGAGGCTGGTCAGCTTATCATTTAAATTTGATTATAACCAAAAACCTCTAAATAATCTCTTCTACACGATAAGTTAGGGGAATCAATCAAAGCCAAGTGTCAGCACCCCTGAGACAGGCGCTGTGCACCATGCTGGCAGAAATAGAAACCATTTCCATACATCTGCTTACACAACTTGGCAATTTGTTTAAACTGCTTTAAAACTGTCTTTACCCTCATCTATTTCTAGAAATATCTAGGAAATAAGTGCATATTCAGGCAAAGTTTTATGCACAAAGATTTCCACATTATTTTAAATGCTAAAAAATTGGAAATGCCAGTGTGTACTAAATGCTCACAATAGGGGGATGGTTAAGTAAATTATGATTTTCTATAAAATAGAGAATTTTAGGGACTTCCCTGGCGGTCCAGCGGTTAAGACTCCACGCTTCCACTGCAGGGGGCGTAGGTTCAGTTCCTGGTCAGGGAACTAAGATCCCACATGCCACACAGTGCGGCCAAAAAGTAAAAAAAAGAGAGAGAGAGAATTTTATACTTTCATTAAAAAGCATGCTTATGAGAGATTTTAGGCATGGGAAAAATTTAGATTATACTGTTAATTGAAAAAAGATTGCAAAATTGTATTCGCAATATAACTAGGTAAAATTATGTAATTATTGAAGATGGTATTTAAATTAATCCCCATTAAAAATATGTATGTATGTCCTTAGGAAGAAGCCTGCAGGAAATACTCAGGAATATTAAAGTGAGATCAGATAGGTGCAGATTCAAATCTGGACCTGTCAACATCAGCTTAATGATCCGAGGCTTAAGTTTTCTGACCGCTCTGAATCTCAGCTCTCCCTGATCTTTCTTTGTTTTTCCTAAAAAGCAATAAGTAATAATAAAAATATTAGGGGCTTCCCTGGTGGCGCAGTGGTTGGGAGTCTGCCTGTCGATGCAGGGGACGCGGGTTCGTGCCCCGGTCTGGGAGGATCCCACGTGCCGCGGAGCGGCTGGGCCCGTGAGCCATGGCCGCTGGGCCTGCGCGTCTGGAGCCTGTGCTCCGCAACGGGAGAGTCCACAACGGTGAGAGGCCCAAGTACCGGAAAAAAAAAAAAAATTAAATTTTCACAGGCTTAGAAAACCAGTAGCACTAACATAAATAAAATGGAAATGTGTAGATGAATACAATGATAATTTTAAAGGGCTTCCCTGGTGGCGCAGTGGTTGGGAGTCTGCCTGTCGATGCAGGGGACGCGGGTTCGTGCCCCGGTCTGGGAGGATCCCACGTGCCGCGGAGCGGCTGGGCCCGTGAGCCATGGCCGCTGGGCCTGCGCGTCTGGAGCCTGTGCTCCGCAACGGGAGAGTCCACAACGGTGAGAGGCCCAAGTACCGGAAAAAAAAAAAAAATTAAATCCTAACTCTCTTAAACATTGACCTCAAAGTGTCTGTGATTGGGGGAATTCACGTTAGTCCTTTATTCTTTCTCCTAGGCATTAAGTATGCACCTATGGTGTGCCGAGCCCTGTGCAGGTGCTCTGGGAACTATGAAGAAATATAAGAATGTAAAACTCTGCCCCAGTTTGGGAGCTGAGGTGTCCCTTTGTCTGTTCTCCCCAGGATGAAGCAGTCATCTTTGGTCCCCCAGGACGGGCCCGGGGAGCTTCAAGCAGGCCAGGATCAGGCCACGCCAGGAAGTGAGCTGGAGGTGCTGCCCTCCAGGGTCCCTGCAGCACAGGAAAGGCTGCAGCAGCAGAGCTCATGGAAGGTGACCGAGGACCAACAGGGGAGCCAGCAGAACCTAGGGACTGTGGAGGGTCAGTTCCCCGAGAGCCGCCAGGTAATGTCCATGGAGACCTGGGCAGGAGGGTATGGAATGACTGACCCACATGGGAAGCGAGGGAGCAGGGAATTGTTGGAGGAGATGATGGGGGGTTCTGTGTAAAATTAAAATTGGGACATGCTGGGTTTAACAAAGCTCAGACAGCTTTTCACGAAGATGGCGCCGAAGGCAAAGAAGGAAGCCCCTGCCCCTCCTGAAGCCAAAGCCAAAACAAAGGCTTTGAAGGCCAAGAAAGCAGTGTGGAAAGGCGTCCATAGCCACACACACACACAAAAGAAGATCCGGACGTCACTCACCTTCCGATGGCCCAAAACACTGTGGCTCAGGTGCAGCCCAAATATCCTCAGAAGAGCCCCCTAGGAGAAACAAGCTTGACCACTGTGCCACCATCAAGTTCCCCTCACCACCGAGTCAGACATGAAGAAAACAGAAGACGACAAGGGACTTCCCTTCCTTGTCGGAGTGGCGGAGTGGTTAAGAATCCACCTGCCAATGCAGGGGACACGGGTTCGAGCCCTGGTCCCACATGCTGTGGAGCAACTAAGCCTGTGCACCACAACTACTGAAGCCCGCGTGCCTAGAGCCCGAGCTCTGCTACAAGAGAAGCCACCGCAATGAAAAACCCGCGCGCCACAATGAAGAGTAGCCCCTGCTCACCACAGGTAGAGAAAGCCTGCGCGCAGCAACGAAGACCCAATGCAGCCAAAAATAAATAAAAAGAAAACAAAAGAAAGGAAAATAGAAGACAACAACACACTGGTGTTCATTGCAGATGTCAAGGCCAACAAGCACCAGTTTAAAGAGGCTATAAAGAAGCTCTATGACATTGATGTGGCTAAGGTCCACACCCTGATCAGGCCTGATGGAGAGAAGTAGGCATATGTTTGACTGCCTCCTGACTATGATGCTTCAGATGTTGCCAACAAAATTGGGATCATCTATACTGAGTCCAGCTGGCCAATTCGCAATATAAAAGTTTTCACTATAAAAAAACAAAAACAACAAAAACAAAGCTCAATTTTTTTTTTTTTTTTTTTTTTTTTTTTTTTT